CAGACAGTGTGTCTGCCCTCGTGACAAGTGGTTTGTTTTGATTAACATAGTTTTGTAGCAATTTTTAAAATCAGAAACTGTGAGGCCTCCTCCATTCTTCTTCTTTTTAAAGGTTATTTCAGACATTTGTAATTACTTGAGGTTTCATAAGGAATTATAATAGGAATTTCTATACCTACAAAAATAATGCTATTGTATTTTGATAGGTAGGGCTTAAGCTGAATGTAGACATGGCTGGGGCAGTACTCTTATCTAACAAGACATATTTCTATCCAAGATACAACATGTCCTTTTCAGTTACAGCTTCTTCAAACTCTTTTAACAACACTTCATAGTTTTTAGTATCTAAGTCTTTCATTCTATGACTAAAATGTCACCGTATTGTGACAACATGTCTATAACCCCAGCAATCAGGAATGTGAGGCAGGAAGATTGAAAGTTTGAGGTAATTCTGGGCCACCTAGAGAGAACATGTTAAAAAGCAAACATGAAGGTTGTGGTGGATCGCACCTGTAAGATACAAAGGAGAGGCAGAGGCAGAAGGAAGTTGAGAGTAGCCTGGGATATAGCTTTGGAGCTGGAGAGATGATGGCTCACCAATTAAGAGTGATACTGCTTTTACAGAGGAGCAGAGTTCATTTCCCAGCACCTACATCAGGTGGCTTACAACCACCTATAACTCTATCTCCAGGGCATTCAACACCTCTGAGCTTTGCAGATACCTGAATTCATGTACCAGAATACCCCATCACTACCACCACCACCACCACCACCATTCTCTCTCTCTCTCTCTCTCTCTCTCTCTCACACACACACACACACACACACACACACTTTATACTCAATTAAACATAATCATTAAACCTCATTAAAAATAACTAAGTTTTTGTCTTCTTAGGCTATGATCTGAATGGATCTGCTTTCTTATCTCCCTGCTGCTTTTTTCTCATCTCTTTTTTATTTAAATAACTTTTTTTTCATTTATTTTACATACCAAGCAGTTTCCCCTCTCTCTGCTCTTCCCACCCCCTCCTCTTTCCCATCTACTCCACCCCCTCTCCACTCCTTCTCCACCTTCATTCAGAAAGGCACAGGCCTCTCATGGGCTTGCACAAAGCATGGCACACCAAGTTGAGGCAGAACCTAGCTCCTCTCCTTACTCTGAGGTGGGGCCAGGTAATCCAGCATGGGAACAGATTACCAAGAGCCAGCTAAACCCCATGGAGAGGTCCTGTTCTCTCTGTTAGAAGCCTTACTAAGAGATCAAGCAGCATGATTGTCACTCACTTGCAGAGGGCCTAGGTGGGTCCCATGCAGGCTCCCTGACTGTTGTTCCAGCATCCATGAGCTCCTGGAAGCTCAGGTCAGCTGTTTCTCTGTGGGTTCCCCCATCAGGCTGGGGGTATAGAGGGATGGGATCTTAACTCCATTACACAGAAATACTGCTGGCTTCTACCTGTTCATTTTGTCTTACACAATTTTGCTGAAATTTGTGTTTTGCTACATTGTAATTATACAATCCTTTGACTTTCAGACATGGTCATTTTGTCTTTGAATAAGGAAGTTTATGCCATCCTTTCATACTTTAATAGCAGTGACATGAGTATCATATTCTTGATTTTAGGGAGAAATTGTCAGTCTTTCACTGTTGCGATCTTATGTGTTTCATACACAATAAGTTGCCCAAATTTACTCCTTGTGCACTGCAAGTTTTTATCATGAAAATGTGTTACATTTTGTTAGATTTGGTCTGCTTGAATTGAAATGGCCATGTGTGTGGTTTTCTTCATTTTATTTGTACAGTATATTGCATTGATTTTTTGTGTGAAAATATTTTGCCACTTATTTGTAATAGCCAGAACCTTCAAACAACCTAGATGCCCCTCAACTGATGAATGGATAGAGAAAATGTGGTATATTTATACAATGGAGTACTACTCAGTGGGGAAAAAAAAACAATGGAATCTTGAAATTCATCGGCAAATGGATGAAACTAGAAGAAAACATCCTCAGTGAGGTAACCCAATCACAAAAAGATAAACATGGTATGTAGTCACTTATTTTTTATTTTTAGACATAGAGCAAAAGATCACTAGCCTACATTCCACACTGCCAGAGGAGCTAGGAAACAAGGAGGACCCCAAGAGAAGATTGCATAGTCCCTTGAAGAAGGGGATGGGGATAAAAACCTTTGCCCAAATTGGAGCCCAGGGGCAGGGAGAGGAAGAAGAGACTTCATCCAGTTGCTGTTCGAAGCAGAAACAGACACCCATAGCTAAGCACTGAACTATACTACTGGAATTCATTTGTGGAGAGGGAGGCGGGTTGAGCAAAGGAGCCAAGATGGGGTTGGAGAGACCTGCAGAAACAGTGGACCTGACCTACTGATAGAATGGAGACCTTAGTCACAAAGCTGAGGAAACAGTATTGGACCAAACCAAACTCTCTGAATGTGGGTACCAGCTAGGAGTCCAAGAAAGTCTATGGGTCCTCTAACAGTGGAGCCAGTCTTTATCTCTAGAGCACAAATAGACTTTGGGAACCCATTCCCTATGGAGGGATACTATTGCAGCCAAGATACAGCAAGAAGGGTCTACACCCTCCTACAAACAATATGACAGACTTTGAAGGTTCTTGGTAGAGGGCCTCACTATTTGAAATTATGGTACCCTGATTTCAACATATAAAACAGATTTAAAAATCCTAACAACAAAAAAATATTTTGCCACTTGATTAAGGCTTACGCTGCTAGTTTTGGATGATTAATACTTTGTTGGATTTTGCATAAGTATTCATAAGGGATGCTATCTGTCAACTTCTCCTGTAGCCCTTTGTTCCAGCTTTGATACAGCCATACTGCTGGCCTCACAGAACAAGTGAGAAGTGAGGAAGAGCCCTCCTCCTCTTCTGTATTTTGAAAATACTTTAATTAACTAGTGCTAATTTCATTTTTTTCAGTGTTTGGTAGAATGGACCAGTGAACCCATCCAGTGTGCAATTTTCACTTTGAGAAATTCATATTTTCTATCCTCTGCATGATTCCATTTTGGTGGATTTTGTGTTTCTAAAAATGTGCTCATTCATCCAATTTTTATAATTTTATAGCACAAAACCTTGTTATGTTTCTCATGTTTGTAAATAATTGTTAGGGAAGCCCATCTTTAAAAACATCTGATTTTAGTTATTTGAGTCTTTTGTATTTTTTCTTGTCAACCTAGATAAAAGTTTGTCAATATGCTGGTCTTTACAAAGTACTCAGTTTTGGTTCTACACCATTATAAAAAGGTGGATTGATGATTTTATCTTGTAAAACAGTGAAAAACACATCCACCATTAGTGGAAACATGCTTTTATTAATGAACAGTGTCCCCCCACCGCATGAGCATTTAAGCTTACACTTGGCTTTGTGTCTGACATGCAGCAAGTGTGCCATCATTTTTGTAAAGCTCACAACAGGGAAGCCTGCAATGAGAGTACAGAGACTTTCACCTCCCTACCTTCTACCTTAACACAAAGTTTTCACAAATCCTGCAGCAAGAAATCTATGGGGCCCTTTGTTGTGGATCAGTACTTATCCCTAGCATTGGAATGCACTTTGGAGCCCATCCCACATGGAGGGATACTCTCTGAGCCTTGACACTAGGGGGTGGGCCTAGGCCCTATCCCAAAGGAAATGACAGACTCTGAAGATCCCCTATGGAAGGCCTCACCCTCCCTGGGTGTTAGTGGGGGGCAGGGGAGGAGGGGAAGGAGGACTTGGGAGTGACATGTAAAATAATCTTTCTAATTAAAATAAAAAGTTAAAAAAAGAAATCTCAACTCTCTAGGCCCATAGGAGAAAAATAAACAAAAAATTGCAGCAGCCCAGTACATGGCAAAGAAAGCACAAAACAAAACTTCCAGTGTGACTCTGGGACCATGAGGAGTGCGCCCTCGGGAAAGGCTTCAGGCACTTCATGTAGTGTCACTGCTCTTCTGTTCTAAGATGCTTCACTCTATTACATACTTCCAGCTGCAGACTTTAGTGGCCACTTCTCCCTATTTCAGTTCCTTAAAGTCACTGATGTGAGAAGATGCACTTTCTGGGTGCATTTGTCTAACTGGATAAATTACTCTCAGAACTCACAGAGAATTGGTAAGGTTGCTATTTCTCCTTTCCTTTTTGTGGCACTTTTCTTTCTATGTTCCACCACTCTGAGGTTTAGGTTGTTATATCACCTTGGTGGCTCTTTAATCAGTGTCTAGTGTTTTGCCTTTTGCTGCAGTGTTTGTCTTAGAGTTGGTTTGTCTCTTAAATCAACACCCTTACCTCACATCTTCTTTGGCTACCATTTTTTAAAAAGTAGGATTTTCACCCTTTCACTTTCAACTTCCATTGATCTTGACTCCGATCTCTACTTAGATATCTGTGTAGGTCTGTGCTTTCGGGTTACCTTTTGTAGACAGTATTTAAGTAGATCCTAGACATTCTGCTCTGTCAGTCTCTAGCTTTTGCTCAGTCCAATCCATTCACATTTGAAGTCATTAGTAATGAGAAAGGATGAACTTCTACAGCAATACTACTTGCTTTCTTTGTGTCCGGGACCTTTTCCTTCCCTCATTTCTTTCATCTGTTTTATTCGTTATTTAGTGGGTTTGTTAGCATGGTTTGATTTCCTGCTCATTTCATTTTGCAGCTATTTCACAGATACATTCTTTTTGGTTACCATGCATATTAAATTTAACTTCCTAAATTTATAACAATATATTTAGTTCTAACACATAATCTTCAAGCAGCTTAGCACCACTTATACCACTGGCATTACAAACTGTGTCTCTGAGCACTGTATGCTAGCAACATTGATTATAAAAACTTATATGCATTGGGGGGGGCAGTGAGACAGTGCTTTGGTATGTAGTCAAAACTAGCCTACTTCTGACACCAGATAATGTGGGAAATTACCAATACGGAGCCTGGTAGAAATACAAGGGATTTTAATAGGGAAAAAAGCCTTACTTACAGAGCAACCTGGCCAGCTGGCGCGGCAGCAGTCTGTACAGCAAGCCGAAAGTGAAAGCGAAACCAGAAACCTGACCAACTCTCACTCTAAGTCACCCTGACCACGCCCATGCAGGCAAGGTCAGGCACACCTTTAGCCAGCCCCTAAGCAGGCGTGGCTACAGCTTCCCCTACACTAGACTTTGTTATAATAACATAGCCAAGGCTTGTGGTTTTCCCACCTCAGCCTGCAAAGTCTGCAAAGCCATCATTTAAGTCTTCTAGTGAATAAAAGCTCAAAACTGGAGTTACGAATTGTTCACTAACACTGGTTTGCATTCATCATCCCTGGACATCATCACAGCATCATATGTCTCAGCACTAATGTCCAGTATCGTTTCTCTTAAGCTTCAATATCTAAACACTCACTTGAACACATTATTTAAAGCAGGTCTATTAAACAGAAACAAACTATCTCAGGATTTAATTATCTGGGAGAATCTTAATTCCTTCTAATTTTTAAGAGCCGTTTTCACATATACATTATATGTTGAAAGCTTTTCATTCCTAGCATATATAATTATTATCCAGCTGGTTTTTGACATCAAGTGTTTCTGGTGACAAATGGGCATGTAATCCTTTTAAGAATCCTGTATCAAGAGATGGGTCCTTCTCTCTTGATGCTGTCAAGCTTGTCTCTGTATTTCATATATGAAATTTTGTTTATAATGTGTCTCACCATAGATCTCTATGTTTCTATCCCTACAAGAGTTCAATGAGATTTCTGGATTTGTACATTTACATCATATATCAAATTTGTGATGCTTTCAGTCATTATTTCTTCAAAAGTTTATGTATGTATCTATTTATCTATCTTTCACTTCCTGGGAATCCTATAAATTTTGATTTACTATTGTTTTCTCACAAGTTTATTGGGCTCTGTTGACTCTTCTTCTTTATTCCCATTTCCTGTCCTTTAGATTCAAAAACTTTAATTTAGTCATAGTTTCAAATCTATGAGTCTTTATTCTCTGTGTTCAAATGTATGGCTGAACTCTGTTATTGAATTAAACACTTTAATTATTATACCAAAGGGGTTCAGAATTTCTCTCTCATTTCTTTTTATGATTTCTATTTCTTGGTGCATTTTGTGCGTTGCATTCGCATTTAGTCATCAATTTTCTCAGTTCTTTGTTCATCTTTCCTCCTATCTCTTATCTGTAGTGCTAAGATGAATGGTTTAAAGTTTTATCTAGCAGATTTAACGTCTACATAAGTGTGAATTCATTTTTTTTCTTTGAGGTAAACATATTTTCCTCCTTCTTTGTAGGCCTTATGCTAGAAGTTCGAAGTTTGACTATAGTAGTGTGGTGGATTAAAATCAGATCATTTCTTCTCACGACTTCTCTCAGTCTTTGCAGCCTGGCTATGCAATGGAGCACGCTGCAGCCACACTGTTAAGCTTGCTTCTTACTAAGGCATCAGTCCCCCCAAAAGTTCTGAGGGTTTCCCGGAATTTTCAGGACCATGTGCCTTTCCTAGAAATGATTATGAATTTTAATTCCCTTGTGTATAGGAATGCTTTTTGCTACTTTACTCATTTTTTTTTCCAGATTTTACTTTGTGCTTTTCCTGGTTTATTTCATGTCCTCAGTAAGGGCATCTGAGAATCACTGTCATTTTGTAGCCTTTACAAGTAGGGCCAATCTCTTGGCTGCATTCTGAATTATACAGAACAGAGTGCTCTTTGCTTCACTTCTGTAAGTACTCCACATACAGTTTAGAATAAAACTTGATAATTTAAAACAAAGGTCTTATCTCCTCCCTCTGATGTTAGGGAAGGACTAGAAAACACGATGCAATGCTCTCAACTCCTGCTCTCAAAGAGCATTTGAGAACTAGCATTGCCCAAACCATCCTGCTGACTATGGTTTTTCTCAGTTGTGTATTTGGGCCATTGCTATGTGCTCTGGGCTTCTGTTTCAGGGATTTACAAAATTGCCTCAGAGAGCTTCTATCTGTTTCCATGTTTCTACAGGGAACAAGATCCTGGAGGTTTTCAGTCTCTATTCTACCACTGCCAATCCCTAACAGAATAATCTGTAGAGATAGAAGGGTGTTCATGAAAACAAAGCAGAGATAATCAAAGCTTAGAATGCAAAAGTAAAAATAAAGCAGTCGTTTCCTCATAGAACACAGAGAAATCAAGCTGATACTCACCTGGAAGCTTCATCTCCATTGGCTAACTTTCATAGTGATGAAAGATGCTATGCATACCACCAGAGCATAAAAGTAATCATGGATCTTTCCCAATTGTAAACACTGCAAGCTACAATAATGACCTCTCTTCAAAATATACCCACTGCTGTAGTAACAGCAAGAACATTATGGGATAAGACGAGTATTTTGTGAATTTAAGGCCAGCTCCACAAGAAGAAATTAATGCCTGGTACCATTATCAGACTAAGACTCTGGGACCAAACAGGTCATAGGCCCTGAGTATTATTCTGCTAAATGGGCATAGTATTAATCTGACTTATTATTCCTATAGATTAAGGCACCACTCAATCCTCATTAGAGAAGCTGCTATGGATTAAGGTACCTCTCAACCCTCATTAGAGAAGTTCCTTTTTGCAATAGATGAGAGATTAACACAGAGATCCATGACTGATCAAGGTCCATAAAATAAAAGGTGGCAAGATTCTCAGCCCTGAATGGGACACTCATATAATAACCCTCCTCCAAAAGCTCAAGAATCACTATGGAATAGTGAATGGAAAGTTTGTAAAAGCCAGAGAACATGGATAACTGCAATCAAAAAGTACTTTCTGGATGCCAGACAAAATGTCATCATGGAGAGGAAAGGTGGCAGTGAAGTCTCAACCCATCTGAGGAGTTGTTGGCAATTTTTATCTGCTGGAAGACAGACAATCAGTTTTCCTTAATAGTATAGTCCTTTTTAGGGTGACCATGCTCTAGTGGAAGGCCACACTACTAAGAATATTTGGGCAGCACAAATTGAACTTGATTGTTTTTTAAAAGATACAAAGTTGGGTGGGTATAGGGAAAGGGGATACACTTGGAAGAAGTTTCAGGAGTAAGTAAATCTGATCAAAATACATTGTACAAAATCTCAAAGAACTAATAAAAGAGAGAGAAAAGTCTGCCCAAAATATTTTCACATGAAGGATATATTTGCATGCAAATATTTAAGATAACATTGACCTTCTTATGAATAAGTAACCCTATATCATCTACTCTATTACAGGGCATGCAGAAAGAGAAATCTTCTTGATTAATAATATTAAAACACAAAAGAAATCAGAAAACATCAAAATGCACTCTAGCATATTTAATAGACTGTATGTGACACATGGCACACACAAATGTGCAGACTCCACACTACTAACTCTCTAATGTATAATTCTTTAGGAAATTTCAATAAATTTGTTCATATTTTCTGGAAAACTCTACACATCTTATGTTTTAGCACAAGTCAGGTTATTGAAAGGCAGAAAACTTTGGGAAAGGTACTTTTAAGGAGAGTTTACAGGCATATTTAAAGGAGACATTTCTCCAAATAAGGTAAACATATGGCTAAAAAAACATATGAAGAATTCTCAGAATCACTGATAATAAGTTCATGGCACAGTAAAACACCATTACACACATACCAGTCTACAATGAAAATCAGGAAGAAGTATTAGCCAGGACACGAAGAAAAGAGTAGGCTGTACTCTTTTGGTGGGAATGTAAATTAGCCTAGTCATTATAGAAAGTGGTATACAGGGGTTTTCAATCATAAAAACAAAACAAAACAAAAAATGACCTAGCAATTCCATATTTATCTAAGTCAGCTTGTCAAAGAGATACTTAGACTCCCATGCTGAGTGCAACATTGTTTACAATTGTAAAATTATGAAATCAACTAAACTACCAACCAACACATTAACAGAGAAGAAAGTGTAGTATAAACAGTGCAACACTGTCTAGTTAACAACAACAATAAAGGTACTGTCCTTTGTGGCAACATGGATGTAAATGGAAAACATTGAGCTACACCATATAAGCCAGGCACAGAAAAATAGACTATTTTGACGTGTATGTAGTATCTAAGCCAACCAAGCACAGAAGTAGATAGCAGAATGGGTTTGACAAACACCGGAGAAGAAGGAAGAAGGTGGTAACAATAAATTGATACAAAAGCTCAGAGAGGAATATTATTTTTAAGATCGACTGCACAGCATGGAGAATAAGAGTGTGCTGTATATTTCAAAATTGCTAACTGTGAATTCCTGAAAGGAAATTTCAAGTTTACTCATCACAAAAGTGATTAAATATTTAAGGGGGAATGTGATACCTAGTTTGATTCAATTATTCCACATTGCATGCATAAATCATAACATCAAATTTTACCCCTTAAATAGATGCAATTACAAGTTGTTAATATATAATAAAAATAAACATTTAAAATGAATAATTATAGAAAATCAATATATAACATTCATAGAAAATAGTTATATAAACACAGCATGAAGGAATAATATCTACTTCTTACAGTTAAAAATTTGTCTTGCAATGGTCATCATTTTAATAGTTGTTAAATATAAATGTAAACTGGTGCTTGTTTAACCCTGGCCATAGGACAATGGGCTGGTGCTGTACATTGTCAGCTCATCACACTTTTGGAAATCAAAGTCAGTGCGGTGGAACAGGGAAAAGAAATGAGAAAAAACTATTTTAAATGAAGAAAAACTCACTACAATAAACATTATAAGTATAAAACAAAAATTTTAGAGAGTATTAACTAAATTATTAGAAATAAGACTAGTGTGGCTGGATGATTTGAAAGGGAGATGTCGTCCATAAGCTCATGCATTTGAGTACTTGTTCCCAGTTGATGGCATTGTTTGGGGGAGATTATGGAGCCTTTTGGAGGTGTCACTTTTTTGGGAGAACTTTGCATTGGGAGAAGTCTTTGAATGTTTATAGCTTACCTCCACTTCCAGTTTACTCTCTATGCTTTGTTTTTATGACTAATGATGCAATCTCTCAGCTTCC